GAATGCAATCATAAATAAACAGCACGCGACTAGAATAGTGGCATGTAAATAGGGGGCCACGAAACAAAACCCGTCACAACAGAAATTTCTCATCCTTCTGCCCGCGTCGTCAACGTAATTTAACATATTTCCTTCAACTTGCGTCGTCTACGCTATGCATCACTCACTCACTTAGCACTCCGACCTTCTTTCCACTTAGCAAAATTCACGGGAACTTAAGAAATACATTAATAATAATAATTTGCTTAGTTATAAGGAAGGCATATTTTAAAGTTTCGTAATAAGATTTCTTTGGTGTATTTACTAATAAGTTTATTTAATGTTCGACGCATTTCAAAGTGAGACTGAGATGAGAATGTTTATTAAAAAATACACTTTATTTACTTTATTTATATTAAAGTTTTTTGTGTAGTACATTTTTTTCTGTTAGACTTAGAACAAAGATTTCTCCGTTGCATTTATTGAAAAGTTTCGTTTATGTTTGAGGTGTTTATTAAAGTAGTATTAAAAATAAAATTTTCTTAACTTATATAAAAGTAGCTTGTTTCGTTCCGTTTCTTCCCTTAGACTATGAACTGTTTGGTCGATTCCACCAGCTTAATTTGTTAAGCTTCTTGGTAATTTTGAAAGAAATATAGATGGAGTAATGCAATTTCCTAAGTGTGCTGCAAATTGCGTTTACGAGCGGGCTGCGCTGATGAGCTCTGTGCATTGCATACTTCGTGGCGCAGACTTTTCAACCTGCCACGGACGCCGCCCATCAGCTATTTGTCTCCCGTGGCATTGTTTGTCTTGCGAGTTGGCGCTGCAATCGCGGCGGCTGCCTAACTTGCCGCCGCCTCTTTAATGTGTGGGTAAATGCGACAAAATCAAGTTAACTGTCAGCATTAACGCACATGCTGCAAGAGCGAAACTTTCGACGCGTCTTTGCCAACTAACTGGGTTTGCAGCGCAAATGAAATTTGCCAAAATGCCTCCCCCAAGCTAAATTATGCCGCCATCAGGCGGATTTTAAATCAATTGGCGGCGAGGCTGCGTGACAAATAAACCTTAGCGGAACGACCACACTGCGTATGCGCAATCTGCAGCGGTGGCAGCTGTGGCAGCCGCTCCATATGCTGCCACAGAGCTGCCGAAGCGATTAGGTCGCCCAGGCCGTCACACGACCACGACCCTTTGTGCGGGGCATTATCTCGGTGGCCACTTGAGCGAGTCAAAGGGGCACTTTGATCTCGACCCACCCGCCCAACCAACCACCCACCTGAGATTGAATCAATCTCAGACCAATCCGACACTGGACAAAAACAGCAGGACACATTTAAGTTACCTCCCTGAAGTTATTTATAATATTAAATAAAAACTGTTTTTTTTTGTGCTATTTAATTAGGTGTTTGAATTAAAATCTCAATTTAAGAGCTTTATACATTGTATTAATTATTAACTAAAAGAAAACTACTTGAATAATGTATTTTCTCCACAAAACTTAATTAGTCTCTAAGGCATACATTTTGTAATATATTTATTTTCAGTGCTTTGTTCCAGCGCAATCTTGATTGCCTTCGGCCATCAGGCTCTTCATGTTGTGGTCACTAAGCAATGGATATGGACACCTGATTGAGGGCGGAGCACTTGAAGTTTGCATTTGGCCATAATGGCGGATGCAGCTAATGCACTGATTAGTCAGCTGCACACTCATACACACACACACACACACACACAGTCACTCACATACTAATACACATACAGGGGGATGGGGATCCTTTGAGTTCGGTTCGAGTATTTCCAATAATTAAACAATCCTCAACTACAGGAGTGCAGACTCCCCCACTTGAAATCATTGATTCGAACCGAATCGCATTGAATTGAATCGAATTCAATGGAGAATTTGGCAGAACGATGGGGAACTTCAAGTGAGTGGCATGTTGCACTTTAACTGGATTTTGCCGGCAGGGGTTTTCCGCCACCCACTAGCTATCGGTGGCCACACTTTTTTTTCCCGTGTCGTTGCAAATCAATTTATGCCCGGCCAACGTTTGAACAATTTCTGTTTCTGTTTCAGTTTCTGTTTCGGTTTCCGTTTCTGTTTCAGTTTCGCTTTGTGCAATTGACGGGCCAATAATTAAGCCGGATCCCAGGGAAAACGCTGGGAAAACGCATGGAAAAGCGAATGTACTCCGTGTACTCCCTTTGGCATCCAACTAGCCCGGTTATGTGGCACGTTCTTATAACTCCGCCGCTGTTGCAAAGTCAATTTCCTTGCTTATTTAAATTTCAAAGCAAATGACAGAAGGTGTTGTTGTGCTGCCGCAAACTGGATTAAATTTCGTTTAAAATGTAAATGGAAAAAAGCGTGATAGACAGGTTCGGCTTTTCGCCCGAATCGTATCCAAATTGCGTTTACAACGGCAAAACATCAAAAAAAAAAACAAGTGAGAGAAGAACCAAACGCAGGAAAAACTAAACAAACACCTCATCAAAGAACATCAAAGGCCGCCCCAAAAAATGAAAACAGGAAAACCCCCAACAATAACCAGAACGGGGAGGAAAATCAAAAACGAAAAGAAAGGAAAAAAGGTAGGACTAAGAAAAAAAAAAGCATTTTGGTGTGCACGACGCAGAAAATAAAATCAAGAATTTCACACCTTATCAATTTTGCTAGATTAACAAAACGAACAATGTGGTGGTTGGGTCCTCCACCACCCACTCCTGCCTGGGAAATTGCATCATCAACGTCCTTGCCACATTGTGATCGACATCATCATCATGGTGCTCTGGATGCAGGGAAGCCGCCGTCGCCACACTTTGTCATTAAGGAAGTCACAAACTTCGACCCAAGCGAGGGAACTGGAGAAAAGCAGGGGATGGTCTTCTCTTTCTCTCTGGAAAGCTCGGAGTAATGGAGAAAGCGGGGGAGAAATCGGTTTGGCTTTGTGTGACAGCAGCGTTGACATTTATTTTGATTTCAGTTTCGAGTGCAAGACCTAACTTTCTATTTCCTTTCATCTGTTATCCGCTCCAACCTGTTTAGCAGCCCCTGCTCTTTAATGCACTGAACAAAAAACAACTACAATATATGTTCGAAAAACTTATTGTACTCTACAGGCTAAATATGTCAAAGGGTTTTCTTTTTATTAAAATAAACATTTTCATTAACATTTATTCTTAAGAGCGCGAGTTAAGGATGCAATCGAACCATGAATAGCACCAAATTAAAAAATCGCAAATTCTCAAGCCAAAGAACGTCAATCAATAGGTTGTTCAATAAATAAAAAAAAATAAAGAAAAAAATTAGTATTATAAATAGTAACTTAAATATCAAATGGGTTGTTTTTAAATACGTTGTGTTAAAGACTTTAAAAAAAAATAACCAATATAAATGATAGCAATAAAAATATATTGAAGGAGCCTCGTAAAAAAAAATTTTTTTTAAATGGGCTTACGAAATTTCTGTAGGCTTATAATAAATTATTAAAGAAACTAAAACCATAAACTAATGTAAAATGTATTGTATTCTAACAAAATAAAGATTAAAGATAAAAAAAGCTAAATACAAAATAGTTTTTCTCCCTGTGCACTCATGCTAATGTGCATCTTGGCTTAGCTTTTTACCCAGGGGATGGCCTTTTTACTTGGTGTCGCTGTCACTAAATTGAATTTTATGTGGCGAATGCCAACTTTGATGTGTGCCTTTATTAATGGTTGCTGGGAACTGTCAGCCGGTGCCAAAAGTCGGACGGTGGAGGAAAATGGGGTCTAAATCAGCACTGATAGAGCGTCGGCGGAGAGTTTACGGTAATTGCAGCCCAAGACAGGGGCGTAAACTTCGAAGCGGGCATGTAAATTCAATGAAATATGGCTTGCAAAAATGCCTGGCACAAGCAACGCCTCAAAATGCCAGCAATGCGCTGGCCACTCTTACCTCATTCCTCTGACCATCTAAACATCAGACCATCAGACCATCTGACCAGCGGCAGCAAAAGTCTGGCCATCGAGCAGCAGCTTGGAATTCCAGGCATAACTTCTGGCAGCAACGAGCAGACGAGCATATGTAAAAAGCGGAGCCAGCCAGCGACACGTAAGTACACACGAGCACACATTGCTGGCGGGTTTCCATGACATAAAAAAAGAGAAGCGTGCTGACAAAAAAATGGAATGGAAAATCTAGCCCAGCCAAGTCTCTAAATTGTGTGGCCCTAAAAGTGTCCGGCGGCACATAATGCTCAAAGAGTGTGCACTTAGAACAAAACTACAGCGCTGCCCTTGCACTTAGTAATTAGTTTCGAAGAATTTAATAATATTAAATTAAAGCATTATCCGAAAAGGAAATATGAGTTCCATATTTCACTTTGAAAATCACTTAAAAAAACCTGTAAAGAAATAATTGAATATTTAACTAATGCTTCTCCAAAAAAACTAAGCACAAGAATATTTCGTTATATTTAAGAAAATATTTAAAAAATTCATATTTTAACGTTCTTAGTTTTTTTTAAATATAAATAGAAAATGTTAAAACAGTTATGTGTTTCCCAGTTATTTTAAAAATATTTAAGGTAACTATTAAGTTGTATCTTAAAGGTCCTTTAGTAAAGCATTATTAAAAGAGATCAATATTGATGTAAATATTATTTCGAAATTGGTTGCTGTTCATATTTTTTTATAAACCATTTTGTATATACTGATTAACACTGTAATTTATGGTTTTAAGTGCTTAATTTTGTCTTTCAGTGCAGGCCAACTCGCACGCACACACCCAAAGCTGTCTGTGTCCTTGCCACATGCAACGTCTGCTGGAGCTGCTGCTGTTGCTTTTGCCCAATGGCCGCAAGGAATTTCACACAATTGCTAGAAAAATTGCAGAAAATTGAAAATGTGCGAGAGCGCATAAATTTTTACAGCGTCACTTGTGAATGCTAAATTGTTGTTATTTATGTGGGCACTGTAAAGCCAAGGTCCGCCACTGTAGCCCCACCATTTCCTCCAAAGAAGATAACATCTGGGAGGAGAGTAAAGGACACACATCGATTTCATTTCGCACATCACTTGATGCCTGTCACTGCCCCCGAGGAGTTTTGTTGCAGTCTTCAGTGGGGGAATCACACTGAAGTCTGCCACAAAACGCTGCGGGAGTTCAAGGTCACAGGATATGCCAGTGGGTAAAATAAAAGTTTACGATTATCAATTTTCACAGCAGTCCACGCTTGAGAACGTGCAAGCCAGTGCGGGCGAAAAGTCGAAAGAAACTGCAGCCGAAATGAGCCATCGAGGAGACGATCAGCAGACCAACGCCCAGGGATATGGCTTCATCCTGGTGGCTCTCCAACCAGCACAGCAGTTTCCTGCACGGCTGAGCCATTAGTTGCATTTGCCGCTCGGCCGCATGTTCCACACAGCTCTGCCCATAGAGCAGTATATAGGACACCTGCATGGTTTCCTCCTTTTCGATGACTACATGCCTTTTATCGGCGCTGGTTTCGTTGTCCTGGAAAACGAACTCAACCACGGCCACACAGCGGAGAATCGAACCGCATCGGGAGCCACCCAGACCAGCTTGAGGCTTACTCCTGGCCAGAGCTTCATTGACATCGCTGGTCAGTTCCAGACACTTTCGATCCCCTAGAGGATTGTGGTTCAGCAGGGCATACAGCTTCTCCAGCTTGCAGCCGTAGAAACCGAGGCGAACGGACTCCTTGTTCGCCTGCCGCAAACGGGAATAGGCCTCACCCCTTCGGTTCTCCCTGCCCGTTCGCACCTCGAAGATCTGGGTGGGCGGTCGCTGGGGGGCGGGCATCCCCAGATGGGCATACAGTTCGGCAAACTCACTGGGTCGCAGGGAGCTGAGGGACACGCGATCGGCCTGATCCACCAAGATGTCCGTTAGCAGACGCACCACATTGGGGGAGCAGGCCCGGTAGTCGCAGTGCATGAGCTGCTGCTGCAGCACCTCCAGCCGGGGGACATGCCCCAGGGTGCTGCACAGCACTTCGATGGATCCCCCCCAGTGGCTGGGCAGTGGTCTCAGTCGCGTCCGGTAGCGATAGCTCCAGGCGGCGGCCACGAATATCGTCCACAATGCCTCACAGCCCATGAAGTCATCCTGAAGACGTCGCTGCACGAGGTTTAGGGCTCTCATGTCCAGATGAGAACTGGGGGTTCGTGCCCCATTTAGTGGCACTACTATGGACTGCGGCAGTAGGGCCGCCAATCGCCGCCAGCCGATCCGCTTCGCCGGCCGGTGATTATAGAATTCTGGGGCCGAGGCTCCCACCGAAAGAAGCGTCATTTTCACTGGCTCTCGATACGGACGATGTGGAAATCGATTCGCAGAGTTTTCGACAAGCCGTCGGGCATCAATCTAAGCCACCGACAAGCTCGACAATCGAATGAAGTGTGTCGCCCAGGTGGCAGGTCGTCCTCGTTGCAGGAGATTGAATTTCGTCCTGAATTCCACTCGGAAAAAAAATTACTAAGGGATTTGGTAAAAGTTGTAATAATTTTTCTTATTATTCAAATCTAGCGACCCTTTTGTTGACAGCCAATTTTGACAATAAAGACTTTAAAAAGACTTGGCAGCGGAAAATAAAACAAAATAGTATTTAAAAACATTAAACATGAAAAATTAATGAGCATATAATTGTTTCTAGTGTGACACTTCCTTTTAGGATCTTAAAATGAAATCAATATAATAAAAGGAGTTGTTTAAAACAAACATTGTCTTTAATTTCGTATGGATAAAGTGTTTTTGGAATTTTTGTTAGTTAAATATGGTAAGTATACTCGAGTTTTATTGACCCGAAAGTGTAGCTTAGAATTTCATAAGTATAAATCAGTTAATTTTTTCAAAACATTGTATTTTAATATAAGACCTTAAATGCTTTTATATTTTAAAAAAGAATTTAAATTTGAATACAAACAAACTATGTATTTAATTTTGTGTGGATAAGGAGTTTGTAAAATGGGTTCTGTTTTGGTTAATTATACCTAAGTCTAGTTGAACTGATAGTGTTGCTTAGAATTTCATAAGCATAAATTACTCAAATTTTCCGAAACATTGTATGTAGATGTAACACCTTTAATTTTTTTAGATTTTGAATAATAAATTAAGTTTAGTTCGTTTGATATCTTGTATGTATAACCGATGACCTGGACATAGATAACGTTCTATGATTTGTATTGCCTTACCATTACTCAATGCTTTTTCGAGTGCAGTCATAGTAACAGTTGTGAAATGTGATCTCCGGATGGATTTCGGTTGGGTTGAGCTTGGGCCTGGCTGTTCTGTAATTGATTAATGGAGCCTGATGTCGAATGCCTGATGCCTGCTGTCTGCCGCTTGATGGCTGACGCTCACCTTATGACCGGGGGTGACTTAGCCTTTTTGGTCCGGAGCCCCGAGATGAAGCCACCACCACCATTGGGCATCAGCTACAGCATCACCAGGAGTGGAATGGTCAAAGTTGCATCATAGCTACCCAGTTAATTGGACACTTTTTCAATACTTTTATCTCCGGCAGCCACCCCCGGCCATTGGGCCTCTCCACCTGCTGCTGCATGCGTAATTTATTGATATACTCCCGCTAAATTATGAGTCTCCTGGGGGCCGCGAGAACGAAATAATTTTTTGTTTTCCCCACTCTTTTTTCCTCATGCCATGCCAGCAGAAGGGGAAAAGAGGCTGCAGGTGTGGGTCTGTGTGGAAATCAGTTAACCGAAAAAGTTTGCAACTTTTTGCCGTGCTCGCTGCCTGTGAAATCAAAGTTGGAGTTTATTCAAATAAACGCCGACATTAAGAGAGTTGCAACTGTTGCGTTGCGTCGTCGTTGGAAGGCGTCTCCTGGCATTCGGCGGCATAAATCAGGGCCAACAGCCGTGGCAACTTTTCTCCCCAGATAAACTTTTGACGTCATTTAACCCTCTTTTTTCAGCCAGCTTTTTTTTTTTTGGGGGTGCCTGCAATGTTATTAATATGCCCAAGTTTCTTTTGGCGTTGTCAATTCCCCGGAGGCGCTTTCTGCTAAATAATTCCCGGCGCCATCGATTTCCCGCCACCAGGAAAAAACAAATGTCTTTAAGGGATTCCCTTCGTTTATTACATACTAAGTGGGGGCCCATTTTCATATGCTCCTATAAACAGGATATGCAGTAATAGGAAAGTTACCACATGGCAAACATATAAAGTTCAGATGAAAGGTTGGGTTTTATTGTGTTAATCGAAAAATATACTTTTACAGAAGTCCAGTAATGTACTCTTATTTGCTTTTCAGCGAGATACGAAATCACCACGAAGACTCAAATGCGATTTTACGGTCTCCACAATCCGCTCCACAAAAATGCTGTTGTTGTGCAGGACAAAAAGCAAATTTCGCAGCGGCAATGAGTTCTGAAATGCAGAAGATGAAACGTGAATCAGTGCGGCCAAATCAATTATCACAAACACTCTCCATCGAATGGATGGTAAATCTATATATGGGGGTTCGGCATTCGGGAGTCGGGATTCGGGACTGGGGAAAATAAATATAAATTGCCTGCTGGCTGGCGATTTGATTTCATAAATATGTGCCTCACGTAGCCCAGCTCAATTGCCAATTAGAAGCGAGGCGAAAGGAAAAAGCAGTGGCAAAGGCGGCAGAAGAAAACATAAAAAAGAAAAGGCGGTGGCACTTGAAAATTCTGAGGCATCAACGGAAGTTGATTTGTATACGGAATCGCATATAAAAGTAGCCCACTTTTAACCTGCACCTTTCTGGCCAAAATTCAATAAAGCAATCGGAAATTTTTCTCACGTCCCTCTGGGAAATTATTATGGAGCTGGCAGTCGAGGACGGCCGTTTCAAATGGAATTCTTTAAACAATTTTCCCCAAAAGCCCCCACACATACACACAGCCAGATGGAGGGGATGGAAAGCTCGAATAAACAAAGCGTGTCCCCAACTGAAATACAATTACCACATGGGAGTTTCAGGTTTGGCAACTCACCTGCAGACCGCTCAGAATTTTGGCAAACTTCGGACTGCTAATGCTATCGACAAGTGCTGCGAATTGTTTGTTGCTCTCGAACTCGTCGAAAAATTGCACATACAGTTGGTCCAGTGGCAGGATCTCCATGACCCGCTCCACCATTCCGTGCAGACCATTTTGGGGTTCCCGATCGCCTGATAATTGATTTAAATAAAATTTTAAGTAATGTTTATATACCCTTGTGTGTTATAAAATCAGTTAAAAGTTGCAATGCAGTGAAGGAAAGGCATGCCTAAGACAGTCGATCTAGTCGTGTCCGTCTGTCCGTTTCTATCCAAACTAGTCTCTGAGTTTTAAAGCTATTTTGATGAAACTTTCCCAAAAGACTTCTTTCTATTGGAGGTAGTATCATGTAGCTCCCTACAGAACAGAAAAATCCTTACATTTTAAAAAATATAATATTTTTTTAAATTAATACGAACACACACCGAGATATATCAATGTTTCAATAATCTGAACTAATCTTCAATAAGAACGTTAAAAAAATTGGGAAATCGACTTGGCTTCACTGTTTTTAAATATATATGCATAAAATTCCTAATACAGTAGTTTTTTAAAACATTTATTTTTTTAAATAGCTGCAAGGGTATATAGACGTCGGCTTGCCAAACTTATAACAGTTTTTTTTTAAGTTTTTAATGAAATCCATTATAAAAAGCTACACCTTAATTATCACTCATACGCACCAACGACTTCGCCCAGTTCGGAAGGTTTAAATTTGTCTGCCACCGACTGCACCACCTTAATCACATCCAAACCATGGACACTCAAATAGTTGGTGAACTCAAGGACTTCTGGCAGCTGAAGGATCTTCCGCTTGATATCTGCAAAATCTCTGCTGGCCAGGAAGGCGTATGCTCTCTGAAACTCCGCATCTCCGTGATAGTATGAGGCCACTATGGCCTGGACTTCAGGCACATAGATCATGGACAGAAAGGGGCTCAGGTCGACGGAATTGTTAGAGGAACTTGGTTTCTTGCGACTCAAGAATATCAAGTCATCGGAGGCATTCGCTTGGCCACTTTCGACACTGCCCTCACTGTTGGTCCCGTCGAGCGTGACGAATCCAATACCGCTCACATCCGATTCGTCACTATCCGGCGTAATCAAATCGCCCTGTGGATAGCCCATTGCCTGGGAAATGCCAGCGGCACAGACGACCCAAAGTAGCAGGTGACCGCGATTCATGCTGGCGATGTGATCTCCTGCACCGATTCTGAACTTCTGGCCGCCTCTTCTCACGGCATCTCTTTGTCCGCCGGGGACTTTGGAGACTTTGGACACTTTGGAGACCATTCGGACTCTGACAATCGTTTTGTCCCGGCGATTATTTAATTTAATCAGTAGCATTCAACAAAAACACTCACTTGTTGGAGGGGAATTCATGACCGAGGTGCAGACAAGAGAGGTCACTACACTCTAAAAAACAACCCAATAGGTTTAAACGAATAACAAAAATTTAAGTAGTCTTGTATTTTACTGGGTACTTTTTAGTTTACAGGTGGCAAATTTCAAACAAAACAAACAAGATAAGTTTAAGTTTTAGTGTAAAAAGAATCTGTTATTTTATTGCATGGTAAAACTGACCTATATATGTAGGTGTTTCTACTTGCTAAATGCTTAGCTACAAATATTATATTTTATAGAAATATTGTAACAAACCACGATCTCTAGTTGAGCAAATAATTAGTTTCTTTTTGATCTATAACCAAACTAATAAAAAAGCATTCTATATAATAATAAACAATTTGTTGGTAAACGATTGATAATTTGTTAAGCTACACCCAAAATAAAAATTGTTATAGAATCTAAACTATGAAAAACGTCTTAATACGATGAAATTTAAATTAATACAACGAAAGTATCGAAATAAAATGTATATGGTTTAAAAATAAAGTCTTTGACAACAGTTTTAGCCTCTTTGGTATAGAAATGAAATGAAAAAGTGTAGCGGTTATATTAATTCGTATTGAGTTAATACTTTACTACTTAAAGTCGCGTTTATAAAAGGGTTTTTTAGGTGTAGACCTAGTCGTTTTTGTTTAGCTGCAGCTTAAAGCTGGAGTTTATAAAATATTGATTTATATGACTTACTGGTGGCTGCGATTAGGACATAAAACATGACTTCGGGCCACCGCCACCGCCTGGTCCTCGTAAATTATCCAAATGGTCGAGTTTCCTGTGGGCTTTTAGGACAACTGCATTTCCGCCGATGCAAATCAAAGAAAATCACACCCATTTTTGTCCCCCTTTGCGGATGGGTGCCTGTGATATTCACACTTTGACAGCTGGCGGGAATGTCACCCGGTTAGTCACTACTGTATGTGTGTGTCACTCAGTCATCCAGTCATTCAGTCATCCAGTCATCCAGTCATCCAGTCATCCAGTCATGCAGTCATTCAGTCAGTCAATCGCTCAGGCACCCATTCAGGTCTCGTTTCCAGCTCGCTCGCTTGTCAAACTGTGCATAAAATATGTACATGCATATGTCCCGGCACACACACACA